AAGTTTCTAGCTCATTCTTCTTGTGATGAATCTACATTCCGAATGAGTGGTAGAATCAAAATATGACTATTCAAAAGTGCTTGTAATGAGTTTATTTGAATAAAGATTATTTCTATTTCTATTTCTATTAAATTATAGCCTGTGTTATTCAGGTATATAAGCCATATTACTGTAAAGTTTCATCAAAATCCGTTCAGTAGTTTTTGCGTGAAAGAGTAACAAACATCCATCCATACTCACAAACTTTCGCGTTTATAATATCAGTAATATTAACTAGTTGACACCCGCAACTCCGTCTGCGTCACATTTTCCCTTTGGTTGTAACAATTTTTATTACAGCTCAGCTCCTATTAGTCGTAGCGTGATGTTATATATATAAAACTGCACACGGTGCTGCTCGCTAGTTCTCTTACTTGAACTTGGCTTTGACACGCTCTCGCGTGTCTAGATAACATTCCTCTTTAAATGTGCTATGTAATACCACAGATAACATAATATTCCATAGTAATACTAAAAGAAATTTCAAAATCAGTTCAGATGATCCGGAGATATACCCTAGAAAAAAATTGTTGTTGTGAAATTGTACGTTTTGTAGTTTCTAGTGACAACGCATGTATTCTAAACTTTAAAAAACAACCACTAAAATAGTATTTTCCTATTTGTGTAAAATCTTTTAAAATTGCTACAGTAAGAGCATTTTGCATTTTTGGTCTTTGCACGGCTGCAACAATAAAAAAAATAAAACTCTATTTCGGAACGACAAATAAATTGCATTCTATTTTCAAATTTCATAATATTTAATTCTTTTTCAAATTCAATACACTTTAGTAAACAACGTCCAGTGTTCGAAATTCGAACATAATTAATGTAACATTCAGCAAGAGTGTAGACAAACAATATTAATCTATTCTCAATTAGACCACAGACATTAACAATAAACAAAAGATATATATGTATGTGTGTGTGTGTCAAATACATGGTAGCTTGTGTAATTTTTTTATTGTAATTTATGTGTAATTTAAAAAATAATTACCATTTTGCTTGCCTTCTCTATCTATACTCTATGCATATAAATAAAATTGGAGTGACTATTTATATATTTATTTATTTATTAGTTTGTAATACTGAAATAACATTTTTTTACAATTTTTATAGCAGGTAGCTGATGTAATAAGAAGTAACTTAGACTACTTTTATTTTAGAAAAAAAATTCTATTTTACAAAAATAAAGTTAAATTCCACGCGGAAGAAGTCGCGGGAACAGCTAGTATAAACTATAAGTGTACTTTCATACTCATCCGTCCGCGCAAAATTTCGTAAAAAGGGGTTGTTATAAAGTTTTTGTTTCAAGTATATATTAATATATGTATGTATTATTGTATCTAATAATAATGTTAATCCGCTTTACCCTGTATCGTTCGCAAAATAAAAGGCGTAATCTGTAAGCGGTTTATCACTTGGCAACAAAACTGTCCTGATCAAGTTAAGACCCCAAGATTCGAACAATTCAACAGAAGACTCGCGTTCGGCCGCCGCCGCGCCGTACTCGTTTGTGGCACGTGACAGTTTTACCAACCTAATGATGTAACAGAGACGTTTACATGCACAGGAGGGCCACTGGGCGAATCGGTATCGATACGATCGGTAATTTTTAAGAAAAAGGTAATATTTTTTTAATTTAAGAGATGAAAATTTTTAAAATTCGAATGTAGATAGTATTCTATTAGAAATATACCATATATTAATACGTGGAGCAAACCTTTGTACCCATTTTTATGAAAATTGTACGGATGGAGAAGTGTGAAATTTCGTACACTTATCTTATCTTATGATTTAAAATACATTAAATCAATAAAAAAACCTTACACATATATTTGACGGCTGAACCCCTGAACCCCCATCAGACTAAAGTCGTATCCGTCAGGCAGGAGGCCAACTCCTGCCTGACGGATACGACGGTACGACTTTAGTCTGAGGGCACCTCTAGGGGTTCGAACCTCGGCTCAGGCCGTCATAATTTCGATCCCCGTTTGAATTGGACGGGGGATCGATCGGTGGGGCCACACACACTAGACAAAAGAGTATGCCCCTTTTGTTTATTATTTAAGTCTGTAGTCAAATTGAGAATAGGTTATTATTATTTGTCTATAGACTTACTGGATGTTAAATTAATTATGGTCGAATATGGACCACTAGTTATTAGAACTTTCTTGAATATGTGACAAAAAATTATGTCTCGAACTTGTTTTTTATTCAGTTAGATAAATAAATTAACAAAGATAATTCGTGTTGACTTGATATGATATATCGTGTTGACTTCATTTGTAAATAGTTAGACGCCATGTGGTTATGCAGCATGCAATTGGACTGCCCAGGGATATTGCTCGTCTCTATCAGGTCTCTAATAAATTCAAATTCAAATTCAAAATATCTTTATTCATGTAGGTCTATTACAGACTCTTATGATATGTCAAATCTACCGTCAGTTCGGAATGATTTCGAGATAAGAAGAACTGACAAGAAACTCAGCTCGTATTTTTTTTTTATATTTTTTTTAATCTCAGAATATACATCTTAAGTATTTCGCGTGGTGATTCGAGGTCCCAGACACCTATCATCCCTTCTCTTACCTTCCACCTTCTTAAAAGGCCAACAGCTTTCCTTCAAATATCCCGGTATTGGTAGTTCCCATGGACGGCGGTAATCACTTATCATCAGGATGAAACCGGATTGTAACATGGACTGATGACCCATTTACCATATTAGGTTGACTTTACTCTGAAGGTGCGTCCCAAGCGTGAAGGTCAACCTAATGGGCTAACTGGTCTAACCTCATGAGCGCATAAATGTGGACCATTCCTTTGTTAATCATTAAAAAAAATCACTTACCATCAAATGACGCGCAAGCTACTTTGTTCTATACTATAAAAATAAAATATCTCAGTGTCTAGGTTTAAGTCGGATGTCTGATCGCATAATGTAAAGACTCTCAACCACTCGACTCGTTCGGATGAACCTTACTGAAGTGTCTCAAACAATTGTCCGCAGTCTTTAGACCCTCAGCTCGAATACGGATTTACTTAAGTTTGTTCATTTGGACACTAGTGGACCTCTAATCGGATCATTATTTATCAGGTGTGTTGATCATCAACAGCATATAATAATAGAAAATCACTGGACAATACACACAGCGCCATCTAGTTCCAACCAAAAAATTTTTTAAGGGTACTAGACAATTGATAGAATATTTAGAAACATTTTTTTTATAATTACATATTCACATAAAACAAACACGATTTCTACATACTCATTCATATACATTGATATTATGAGTAGAGATCGTATTTGTGTTTGAATCGTGCGAGGAATCGAACTTGCGATCATCTGAAGTACAGCGATCTGTTAAACCGTATGCCTAATTGCTACCAAAAATACGACTAATTTGACCCTCCCAATTAGTTTTCATATGTTAAGTGCTTTACAATAAGTTTCATGGAAAAATTATATTAGGTTTTTCACATCTTTAGCGACGCTAGAAAATAAATGGTGAACATGAAGGTGTTCCTTTTAGTGTTTTTGTGAAAAATACCCAATTGAAAAAACATTCTTTGATATTTCCATTGATTGCTCAACCTTTAAAGGTTGATTATACTTGAAAATCTACAACGGAAAGGCTAGTCAACCCGCAAAATTTGAATTTCCGTTTCATAAATTGCAAAAGAGACGAGCGATTTCTCGTACAAGTAGAAAAGAGATAGTGAAATGTTATTCCGAATATAAAAATGTAGCCAGCGAATTTGGCTACTTACATATTTTGTACCTTCAAAAGGAATCGGTGGAGTCGGAATAATTTTGAATTGAGAATACGCTTTACCATCGAACGCCTTTTGTGCAATCAATATTCAATGTTGGCAAGACTTCTCGACATTTTGAATTTGGAATCAATCATTTGGAATTTCAAATTTCGAAGACGTTCAATGTGTAAATGGCGCGAATAATTCCTTGGTTCATGCATATCATTATAGCAAAGCAGAGGATTTATATGGAAAATGTGATCATACCATAATTTTGCATTGAGTAACATACAATTTTTTTTACTACTTATGATATTTCAATTAAATTATCTACCGCATTATCTAATGCATATTGCAAATAGTAAAATCTATATACCTACCTTCTAAGTGCTCCCTGCACTATTTGTTATTAGACATACACACATATCTACATTAATAAACAATTGACTTTGTAATATTAATTTAAATATAAATTTATTTTATATTAAAATTAATATTATAACTATAAATTAAATATTATTGTCGTTATAATGGAGATGGATTTATATATGTTTAGTTTTCGATCAGAGTTTTAAATAAGAAAAACAAGTGCACTATCTGCCATCTATAAGTACTTACATCAACGAAATAATATTAATTTTTCAGTTCATCAAAATCGTGCACCAATTTCTTTGCTATTTTGAAAACATTATCATTTTTAATATATTAAATCTCCAACAGATGGCAACACTCGTAATACAGCGGCATCTAAAATTTAAGTGTGGTACTAAATAGAAACTTACTTTAACAAGAGGGTTCGTAAAACCGCGCTGAAGCAAGTGGAAGCTAACTTCCGAATACAATTTCTCTTCTACTTAACAATAGATGGAGCTACTAGCATGAAGCGGTGATGTTTACTTTTCAAATGAAATTAAATATTTTGTTTTAGATATAACTTATAATTAATACATAAATTAAACATACAATATTCATAAATTATTTGGTACGTATTTGTATTTTATTTTATAATTATAATTATTATTTAATGTAAATAAATTAGATAATTATTTACCAAGAATATTAGCTATTTAACTTTTTAAAATAAATAAAAATTATGGGGAATAGAGAGGTTACATTACTTTTTACTTTTTTTGACTGCATTCATAGCATGGCATGGCATGCTATCCCCATGACGGGAGCATCCAAATCAGTATGACATGATCGTCCCTGGAGCGTGGACGTATTGTATTCATTTCCCGCGCTTACCACGTGTATTTACGAAACCGTGCGTTCTTTTTAAAACAAAAGTAAATGAATTGTAATATTGTCATAACGCGTGTGGTATTTTAAACTGACAAAAAATGTTCACGAATGAAATTTGTGTGGTATTTTATGTGTGCTTTCTGTGAATTTTAAGTGCAATCCTTTTTTTTTTATATTTTGTAGTGTTTTTCTATAGTGATGTTTGTAAATAAATACGGTTTTTGGATTATATTAATGGTGATTATGTCTGCGGAACGCGTTATAAATGGAGGTAAATTATTTGTTAATTTTTAGCGAATGTTGACAGTGCAAACTATATATATATATATATAATTGGATAATTTTGGTTAAAAAGTATTTACAACATTTAAGATTTATACTTTGCTATCTTAATTGTATCTCTGTACTAACTAAGTATTTATTTATTACACAGGTAGGGTATTTCGTAGATAGTAGATATATTCTTTTTTCTGAAACAAGTCACTTTACATATCACAGGCACATAAAATATCAGAAAAAATGACAAAAGATGTTGTTAGATAGATAATCAACATAGAAATTGAAAATTTCTATGTAGATTATCGCATGCCTCTTAATTGTTATACTGTAATTATTATATAAAAAAAATCTATTCAAAAGAGTAACACACAAGTTTCTAGCTCATTCTTCTTGTCATGAATTTGCATTCCGAATGAGTGTTAAAATCAAAATATGACTATTCAAAAGTGCTTGTAATGAGTTTATTTGAATAAAGATTATTTCTATTTCTAGTGCTTTTCAGAGACGATGTTGCTGAATTCTATTTTGTACCGCTTAAATATTCCTCTAGGAATGGGCTTATTAATCCACATTACTAACAATCCTATTCCTCTGACCAATATGACAGGAATTTATCACGATGGTTTCCGAGGGGAACCGCGTGGAGGTCAACCTACATAGCTACTAATAGGGAGGGGGCGAGGGGGGCCACGAGGGCACATTACTAACAAACCCGTTCCCCCATGTTATATATATATATATATTTTATGGATGATAATGGAATGGAGCACCCGCCTGCGCTAATGGTTTACGCTGGCGGGGCACCAGTGGAGGATGATAAGATGAGCATGAGGTCAGGTCAGTTTGCCCATCGTGATAAACTCACCAAGAATTTATCACGATGGTTTCCAGGGGGAACCACGGGGAGGTCGACCTGACATGGTACATTGCTAGCAATGGGAGTTACTAATTCCCATTACTAACAATCCCCTTTCCCCCATGTTATATATATATTGTGTATGTATTTACAAAAAAAATATCTATGTAATTATATCAGTTATTTAGTACCTATAACACAAGCTCCGATTAGCTGGGAGGAAAGGTGATTGTTAGTAATGTGTATTTATGACCTCATTGTTAGCAATGTACCATGTCAGGTTGACCTCCACGCGGTTCCCCCTGGAAACCATCCTGATAAATTCCTAGTGAATTTGTCACGATGTGCTAACTGACCTGACCTCATGTTCATCTTATCATCCTCCACTGGTGCACCGCCAGCGTAAACCATTAGCGCAGGCGGGTGCATCATTCCATTATCATCCACAAATAAAAAAAGCTCCGATTAGCTTGGGACTAGATGGCGTCATGTCGTTTCCCTATATATATATTGTGTAAGTATGTATTTACAAAAAAAATATCTAAGTATTTATATCAGTTGTCTAGTCCTCATAACACAAGCTCTGCTTACCACGGGACTAGATGGCGTTGTGTGAATTGTCCTAGGATATTATATACTACTAGTTATGCCCGCGGTTTCACCTACGTGAAATTTATAGCCTACATGTTATGCTGATGTATAAGCTATATTACTGTAAAGTTTCGTCAAAATCCGTTCAGTAGCTTTTACGTGAAAGAGTAACAAACATCCATGCTTACAACTTTACGCGTTTATAATATTAAGATTTATATCAGTTATCTAACCCATAGCACAAGCTGTGCTTGCCATGGGACTAGATGGTATTGTGTAAATTGTCCACGGATATTAAATATTATATATTGGACCAGAAAGACACGTACAAATTATAACACCCCTATTTACCAGGTGTTCTCTTGATATATTCGCAGTTACCCTCGTAACAGATAGATACAGGACGAGATAACAGCACACAACAGAATGATTTTAAACTGAAAGGACGTTGAAATATGATCCCTTTTGTAATGCATTGAATGGGTGTAAATGTATATCAAGTTTCCTAAACAATACAATAATAATAGTGTGTAGAATAAAAATCTTGTTACCAAATAATAGTATCTGTGGATGATAAACAAATTAACCCCACCGATCGATAACCCGTCCACTTCAAACGGGAATCGAAATTACGACGGCCTGAGCCGAGGTACGAACCCCTAGCAGTGCGCTCAGACTAGTCTTATCATGTATGCAGTTAATAATAATAGTTACCACTTACCATCTAACAGTCAGCTCGTTTACCAGAATGGTATATTGCATAAAAAAGTAATATAATTATGTAAAAGATATTTGAATCAATATAGACATCATCAACGTAGACAAAGTCGTGGACGATAACTAGTGTATAACGAATTTATTGTTACAGGTACAGAACATACGACCCAAAAAGAAACCCGCCCCGAATACATACATCCCGACGGTCTACTGAACTTCGATCCCTACCTATCAGACTTCAAACCTGAAGAAGATGACGTAGATTATATACCCCTTCCTGAAAACGACGAAACAATTGACGGTCTGCCAATATTCCAACTAGAACCAAAGAACTCCTATGTACTAAGAACAAAACCAGCCAGCCTTCTATGCAGAGCAGCCAATGCTTTACAAGTCTACTTTAAATGTAACGATGTTAGAACAGAAAAGACTAAACAGTTGGAGCACGTGGACCCTCAGAATGGAGTGAGGGTTGTCGAAGCTGAACTGAATGTTAGTAGAAACGAGATAGACGACTATTTCGGTGGAAAGTACAGCTGTGAATGCTACGCTTGGAACAGCAAGGGAAGAATTAGAAGTCAAGCTGTGTTCATTGAATATGCATGTGAGTAATTATAAATACTCTATTCACTTAGATACGATGATAATCTATTGATTGCTAAGAGAAAACTGGACGATGTAGCAGGATTGTCTTAGATATATCTCACTGCTTATAACATATCGATTTCTCCTTATTCAATCCCTCATGTCTAAGAATTAGGATAAAAAAAAACTTAAATTTCTAACGATTCTTCGCTGCAAGGTTTTTTAATATCACTTGTAATTCCACTAGTGTTCAAATCATCAGAACACTTCAGATCCATCCTAGCTAGTTCTTCAGCCTTCCTAATATAATAATTTATAACTTATACTATAAGGATATTACTCCTTATGCAAATAAGCAGTAACAAATACGCACGATATTTGAGTACATATGTACTACCTCGTTTATTGTTGTAATCAATACTTATGTATTTACTTAATACATACATCTTTACAAGACAATGGTGTGTGCCAACAAAAATTTGGTGATTTCATACTATTAAGTTCCAAGAATTAGAAATATGCATGAATAGTCATAGTTTTTGACTCTACCACTCATTGGGACCTCAAATTCATCACAAGAAGAATGAGGAAGATACTTCCATGTTGCTGCTGATTTAAATAAATATTGTACAGCATTCCATTTTTAAGAAATATTTATGAATAAAAGATAGTAAAGACGATATAAATAAATATTTACTTGAGTAGCAAAATAAATCAGTCAGAGCAGACCAGTCCATACAAGCAGTTCACAAGTATAATGAGTAAAGAAGACCAGGACCTTTCTCTTGGCAAGTAGTAGATAGATCTTTTTTATATATTTTTTTGTCATATGAACTCATTAGTTCTCATTACAGTCCAATAGATTCTAAAGTCTCCCCAAATGGAAATACCAATACAGCAAGTGTTAATTTAATTGGGAGTTTTTTAAGATAGTTATTTTTTTCCATATGTCTATATGCAACTGAGTAAACACAAACTGTTAAGAAAGAAAGAAAAATATTTTATTCAGTGCAATGTAAAAAATATAATATAAACAACATACGAAAAAAAAAAGAGCAAATAAAATGTACATATAATTAAACTTAATTTACCATGTAGATAATTAAAAATAAATGTTAAATTATAGTCTGTGGAGGTACAGAAATATTTATGATTAATAAATATGTACCTCCACATCTTAAAAATACTCACAATTAAAACAATAATCTTAATAATAATAAAAATGTATCTTAATAATAATAATAAAACTCTTTATTGTGCATAAAAGAAACAAATAATTACAAAAAATTAAAATATACAAACAAAGGCGTCCTTATCGTTCAAAGCAATCTCTTGCAGATAACCAACTTATTGTCTATAGATGGTTTCTGCTATGAACGAATAAGTCCCAAGATAAATTAAGTGCTTAAATAAAATCTATACATATAAATATAATTTGAGTGTCTGTTTGTAACATTGAAATAACCGTTTTTTACTACATGCATATGAATATAAATGCGGTACATATACCAAAATAACATTTTTTACAATTTTTGTTTGTCTGTCTGTTTGTTCTGGTTAATCTCTGAAGTGGCTGGGCCGATTTTGACGGGACTTTTTTTGGCAGGTAGCTAATGTAATATGGAGTAAATTAGGCTACTTTTATTTTAGAAAAAATATTTTATGTTAAATTCCACGCGGATGAAGTCACGGGAATAGCTAGTAATAAATAATGTTAAAACATCTTATAATTCAATCTACTGCGCATAACATAACTTAATAAAACATCACAAACCTCCTAAAAAATCGTATTTAAAATATTAGAGAGATTTTTAAACCCTTTCTCTTTGTCATATACTATACTATAATACATATCTACGTGCCTACAAATCTCTCCCATAGACAACAGAGAAAGCTTTACCCCAACGGAAAATTCAGCGAAATATCTACGCATAACGGAAGTGGCACCCGCCGATATGAATATGTAAATTTTATCATTAAAGGACGGCAGCCTGCTGAGTTGAACCTTATACTCGGTTATAGGAAGTGGAATGTCGATAACCGCCGCGCCGGTATACACAAATATATATATATATATATATATATATATATATATAGTAGATAGTGCTAGTCAGGGGCGGATTCACCTAAGGGCTTTTTGGGCAGCAGCCCAGGGCTGAATTGACTGAAAGGATATTTAGAATATAAAAAAATATCTAGACTGTTAAAAAACCTATCATAAGGTTGGCAACCCTGAGATCAATCAACCCAAGCAAGTGCGCGTCTATCGAAAGGAACGCGAAATTTCTGGTCGCTAGCCCCCTAAATACATTTAGCCCAGGGACCCACAAATTTACGATCCGCCCCTGGTACTAGCTGGTAGTTTGTATTCACAAGTTTCGACTTGAAAAATGTGAACTTACAAGGATTATTTAAAAGAGCAACACACTAGTTTCTTGCTCGTTCTTCTTGTGATGAGACAGCTTTCCGAATGAGCGGTAGATTAAAAAAAATGTTATGACTATTCAAAAGTGCTTAAATTAAGTTTATTTTTATAAAGGAGGATTTTCTATTCTATTCTATTCTATTAACCTTCTGGCGTGTTGAGGCTTGATGAATATTTACCTAACTGTCGAAGAGGGGTAATGTTTTTCCTCCTAGACGGCTTCATTGATCTAGCTGTTTAGCATCGCTCTACTTCCGAAGGTCGCGGGTTCGCACGGTGCAAAGATTGTGAGTGTGATTTTTGTATCGGGCTGGGCGTTTTCTTTTTATATTATGTATGTATTTACAATCAAAACTCAACGACGAAGATTTCCAGGAAGGACTGCGTGGAGGTCGACCTGATATAGTACATTGTTAGCAATGAGTCAACTAGTTTCTATTAATTATTAGAAATCTTTTTCCACTGTTACTGGGAGGGTCAAAATCGTAAATTAAATTCAAAATATCTTTATTCATGTAGATCTATAATAGACTCTTATGAGTGGAAGCGGTTGTTAGTAATGTGGACTAATGTCAGGTTGACCTCCACGTGGTTTCCCCTGGAAATCGTCGTGATAAATTCATGGCGAATTTACCACGATGGGCTAACTGACCTGACGTCAAGCTCATCTTGTCATATTGTCATACTTCACTGGTGCCCCGCCAGCGAAAACAGTTAGCGCAGGTGTTCAACTGAGCATGTTTCAAAATACAGAATTATTTTTAAATTGTAAATACTTAAAACAACATCCTCACGAAACGATCGTATTCATAATATTACATAGGATATTGAGAATTCAACTTCATGACTGTATAATTTGAAACCTACGACTTCCGTCGCTGACTATGCTCAAGGCATAGTAATTAACAAGTTAATTAATAAAAATGTTAATGTGGACCCAACACTTCTTTTTATAACCAATTAAAACGTGACGTGGTATTGAAGTCATAAATTCATCGTGAACTTTAAAACTGAGTCGATAATTTAGTCATCAGCATTTTTATTGATATCATTTTTATGGTTTTTTTTATTTAGTACTAGCTGTACTCGCGACTTTGTCCGCGTGGAATTTAATTATTTATTTTTCTAAAAAAGTAGCCTAAGTTACTCATTATTACATTAGCTACATGCCAATAAAAGTCCCGTCAAAAGCGGTCCAGGCATATCAGAGATTAGCCGGAACAAACAGACAGACAGACAGATAGACAAAAATTTTTAAAAATGTTATTTTGGGGCATGTACCGTATTTATATTCATATGCATGTAGTACAAAACGGTTTTGAATATTACAAACAGACACTCCAATTTTATTTAGGTATATGTTTAGATTTTATTACATTCAACTACGGTTGATGTTTTTGTTTCGTTAAGACATTCAGATGTTCAGTCAATAAGCTTAACGAAACAAATTAACGAATAATAGCAACGAGTGTGTTTTACCTTTTATCATATACTAGCTGACCCGCGCAACTTCGTCTGCGTTTCATTTCCCCACCTTTTAAGATATTTTTCATTGCATCTCAGCTCCTATTGGTCGTAGCGTTAGCGAGCAAATAGTAGAACATTTGTTCAATAGCTGCGCCATATTTGGAAGAGCCCGGCATGACCACGAGCAAACATGTCGCCTGTTTGAGATTGACTCCCCTTATAATTTGACGAGCCTCATTAAGAAGCCGGAAACTCTTGCTTCTTATGATGCCCTGGCTAAAATTATTATTTATAAGTTAAAACAGATTAACAATACATAAGTGTACACTACATACAAGCGAAAACTTTTATGATTAAATTTTATATTTAAGTATTAAATCTATTATATATTTTAATATAATATTTTATGTATAATATATGTGTAATTATGAAAGTAGGTATAATATAATATATATCCCTACAGTGAAAACTTCTATTAAAGACTTCCCCTGTATCAAATCGCAGCGGGAGCCTAAGATTTAAAATAAATCAAAATATACACATTAAAAAAAAAAAAAAGGTGAAACAAATAAAAGGAAATAAAAAAAAAAACGTTATGTAGTTTAAAGCCTTCCTTGAAAAAAGGGCTATCCAACACAAAAATATATTCCAATTCGAACTTTCCAGAGATTCGCGTTCAAACAAACAAAGTATTCAGCTTTATAATATTACTATAGATTTGTCGAATGGCATACGAACTTACGACTAATGGAATTTGTAATGTGGACTAAAAACATAATTGCTCACGATGTGCCATATCCTGACCTCATGCTCATCTTATCATCCTCCACTGGAGCCTCGCCTATACCGTTAGCGCAGGCGGGTGCACCACAGCATTATCATCTATTAAAAAACGGTAATACTGACGGGACACTACGATTGAGCATGACGTCTGGTCAGTATGCGCATCGTGGCAAATTTACCTGAAATTTACCACGACGGTTACCAGGGGAAACCACGTGTAGGTCGACCTGATGGTACATTGCTAGCAGTATGGCTTTCCCATTACTAATATTCCCTCTCCCCTTTTTGGGCGTAATAATAATATATAATATAACTAGCAGATACGACAACGCGTTGCTGTGGCT